GCTGGCAGTACTACTTCTTCAAGGGCGAGGTATCCTTACTTCAATCACCGTCCAAAGGAAAACTCTCCAACGATGATTCTGTTTATAATGCTTTCTGATATTACACCTAAAAGCTTTAGGGATCATAAATGTGTCCATGGTTTTCTATTGAACATCTGAAAAGATTATCCAACTTTAGCTGGTCCATTGAAAACAATTTTAAGATTTTACAGTGACTTTTTCACTTTTTTGTATCTTCGTTGAGGATATGTTGTTTTCATTGATTCTAGAAAGAGAAGAAGGGAGAGGGAGAGAGAAAAATATCAATGTGTCGATGTATGAGAGAGAAACATTTATCAGTTGACTCCCATAAGCATCCCAACAGGGATGAAACCCATAACCTGGCTATGTGCCCTGACTAGGAATCTAATCCAAGACCCTTCAATGCATGAGACCACTTATACATCAGCCAGAGCATTTTCACTTTTTATCAAGAAAAAGTATCTATAAAATAATAAGTAGGGGTTAGAAGATGAAACCTGAATGAAAGAAGCATGGTTTTTGTTCCCAGTTTAAGGATTCAGTTCTTTGACTAAATAGCTTGGTCATTTCACATCTCATTTACCAGATGTTGTTACTAAATAGTGATATTAAGAGTTAAAGGACATGAAGGAGAAAAGTATGCTGTATCTCGTAGAGTAGCCACATTTTCAGAAAAATATGTGTGTTCTTTTTTTTTTTTTATGTCACAACACACAACAGAGAAGATACATATTTCTGAAGAGGAATCTAGTGGTTGATTTGTTCCAAATACTCTGGGATGAAGGAAATCTAAACCTGAGTGAGATCATGCAAACTACAGCACAAGATACTCAGTCGTAAAATGTCAGCGTTTTCCTATGTGCCTACTATTACCAGGAGAGGTTTGGGTTAGGGGGGTCTGCAAAAATATTTTCTTCCCTTAAGTACAATGCTCTGAGCCAAGACATCATCAGTTCCAGGCCCCGTCAGTTCCAGTTGAAAGTGTGAATGTTCAGCAAGGGGACATTTTGGAAGAAGACTGAAAATCTGCTGTGCCAGATACCTGAAATGCTGTGAGGGTATTTGGTGGAAAATTTCATTTCCACATTATAAATAACTGTAGGATATTTGAAGGGATCCAAGACTAGTAACTTCCAAGAGCTGCTTGTATTAGTTCCATGGACATGAAGTGGAGGGAGGGTGCCCGAGGAAGGCTTTAAAGGTGAATTACCAGATGTGATTAATTAAAATACATCATTTACCATTGGTTAAATTGTCCTTAAAAAAATCCTGAGTCAGAGTACTCAGCCACTGGGGCCTGCACATCTTGCTGTCCACCAAGAAAAACAAAGGACAAAACAGCGACTGAGCAAGAGGTAAAGCCTCCCAAACGCTTATTGAAATCCAAAGAGCTTTAGACTATCTCATTCAAAAAAGCCTCGTTTGGTTGCTCATAACTGAAATATCAATTATTACTTAGCGTTTTCAGATTGTCTGGGAGTTCCCCCTTCCGTGGACTTCCTGAGATAAGGACAATCCCGGATAAGGTGGCATATCACCCACGATGGTAGCTACTGCATTTCTGTCTCCCTTGGACCACAGAAATAATCCACTTCCTGTAACTTATTCTCTCCTTTGCAGGCGCCACTTCTTAAAAAAAAACAACAACACTGAACTAGTCAGAAATCTTTGTTAGACAGTGATATAACGTGCCCCAAGTAAATAAGCGGCCAGGCTAGAAGGCGAAAAGGCAAAAAAAAAAAAAAAAAAAAAAAAAAAAAAAAAAAATCCATGTGCATGAGTTGTGCGTGTAGTTAAGAGTGCCAGTGTGTGGCTGCTGGAACATACGGGTCTGAGCGCTGGCGGGTGGGTGTAAAGTGGGAGAGGGAGGGCTGCAGCCTGGTCTTTAGGGTTCTCTGTGCGGGGTGAGCCGCTGCCCTTGCGGGGTGGCTGCGGGGCTGGGCGCGCGCTGCCCGGTGCGCCGGCGGCGCGGTGCCCGGGGTTAGAGCTCTCCCCTGTGACCGAAACGATAATTAAAGATCGCACGCGCTGCAGATGGCTTCGCTCCTCGCCATGCAAGCCCGTCCCCCGCCCTGAGGCAGGTAGACCCACCCGGGCTGCTGTCACAGTGGGTGGCACAGAATGCCTCTACCGGTCTAGGAGGGTGGCTGGCGGCCCTGGGAAGGCCGAGGTGTCTGGAGGGACGAGGCAAGGAGACTCGCGACTGTGTGTGTGTGGGGTACTTTGGGGAGAGGCGGGAGAGGGGAGGAAAAAAAAAAGTGGGAAAGGGAAATGCGGACAAGGGGGGCGTGGAGTTAGGGATGGAGAAAGGGAATGTAACATTAAATCAAAGAGGCAGGGTGGCGTGGTGTCCTCTGAACCAGCATCCTGACCCCGGGAAGGATGCCCGCCTAGCCACCCTCCCCTTTTCCACCGCTCCCTGGCGCATCTCTTTGCAGAGGCCAGTCCTGGGGTCTAAGTCACGCGACGACAGCCCTCTAAGGCCAGCTTGCTCTTGTAATGGGTTCTAGAATCTGCGACAGGCTCCAGGTCCCCTCTTCCGTCCCACATCCTCCTCCCCCCAAACTCTTCAAGCTCGTCCAGGCCCCTTCAAAGGCGCAGACCCCAGCGCAGGCTCAGCGAGGGGACCAGCGCTTTGACAGCCCAGAGGGAGGGTCCCGGCCCGTGGCTACCGGGGTGAGAGAGGCGTTTATGCTGAGCAATAAAAACACCAATTAATGGGAAGTCCATTGTTTTAAATAAGATGTGTGTGTAGGGGGGATATTGATATTTATCAACTATCTTGCTTCCTGAATACCCGGAGTTGGAGGCATTCTAATTTCTCATTTATTGATAAGATCACTTATTTCGGTGTCAGCTCCCCTATTGGGAATCCTGGAAACTTTGACAACGGAGGGTTCTTTTTGCAAGCACGTTTTCACAGAGCTTTGGGAGGTCTAAAGGAGTTTGACAGCAAGCAGAGAGCTTAGCGGTGCGCGACGTGGAGGGCACCCGGCCTGGTGCCCCCTTCTCAGGGGCGCAAAAGCCTCAAGCGGATTTCCAGGCTTTTGTGGGCGCCACACATTGTATTTGTTTTGAAGGCTCAGGGTTTGAGGCTGGTCTAGGAGACACCCACGTGCCTCTGACTCTCATCAGCGTAATGATTGCCTCAGCCAGAGCCGTGTCTATATAAACCACAAAAACCTAATCATTAGAAATCCCAGCCTCCAAAAACCACATTTTAGGTAAAACTGCCGCTTTCCCCCACCCCGTGCTCCTTCATCCTCTCGACCACAACTTTTTGGGGGATCCAAAGTCGCTTTTGAAACCCACATTGGGAAATAAATACATAAATAAATACCCGTCGAAGCATTTTGAATATTTTATTTTGTATTTTTACTTTTTTTTTTGGCCTGGGCATGGTGGGAAAGAAAGTAAAGACATTAATTTTTAGATGCAGAATCGACTTACTAAAAGATAAAATGGATAGAAAACTGCTGGAATTTCTCCCCAGCAAGGGTTTTTGCAACTTATTGTAATCACCAGGATGACAGTTTTCCAGTCTTTAAAAAAACAACAACAACAACAAAACTCATCCTTGTTCTCTAGGAACAAGTTTGAATATAGAAGAAGAAAAAAAAAAAAACTGTCCAGCCACCCACTTGAGTTTCTAAAACTATTTTGACGCGTGCACCCCCGCCCCCATTTTTCGTGTCACTTAAAACAAAACAAAACAAAACAAAAAAAACACACCCCAAACCCTGCAAAAATCTTCTCTCCCCCCGGCCCCCCACGGGAGCCACTCAGGCAGAGGTGGGGGTGGGGTGGGGGAAGGGTGACGAGTGCTGAGAAGTCAGCACAGTCACTCAAGAATTTTCCTTCCTCCTCTCCTGAAGTTACAACGAAAAAATACCGACAGTCAGATCAGCCCGCGGCTCTCTGGCGTCTCCGCTGCAACCTCCTCGGACCGAGAGGGGGTTCCTTGCCCCGGGGTGGGGGAGGTGGGGGTGAGGGGTGAGGCGTGGAGGAGCCAGAGGACGCGACCAGGCGGGATCCCTGCAGACCCGGCGCCGCTGGGCTCCGGCGGCGGCGCTCGGCGTCCCGGGGGCTCCTTCCCGCGGCCGGCGGGCGGCGGCAGCGGCTGCGATTCCAACGCGGAGGCTCCGGATCCGCCGCCCCGGGATCCGCTGCCCGAGACTCACCTCCCGGCGCCTCGGAGCGCGGGGGTCAGGGCAGCTTTGCAAAGAAGCAGCAGGAGCGAGTGGACGCGAGGAGGAGGAGGAGGCGGCGGGAGAGGGAGAGAGAGCGGAGAAGGGAAAGGAAGGAGCGATCGGAGCCGGGGAGCCCGGCCGGCAGCCGCGGCGGGAGGACTCGGAGCGCGCAGCCGGCGCGGGGAGAGCGGCGGCCGCGGGGAGGAGGCGGCGGCCCGGGCCGGAGGGAGCCCGCGGGCGGCGGCGGCGGCGGCGGCGGGCAGCGCTTGATGATGCCGGTCCCCGGTCTGGATTGAAACCGCTCGTCTCCACAGCTGGACTCACTCGGGGAGGGGGCGCCAGCGCACCCAGGACGCTGTGCCCCCAGAGACCCCACTCCACGCTGCAAACGAAAGCCCCCCCCCCCTCCACCCACCCCTACCTCCCGGGTCAAACACATCCTCGGGTCAAACACAGCCCCGCACCCGGTCGCAGCTGCCACCCCGGGTGTCCCAAAGCACTCCGGCAAAAAAGATCTTCGGCGCCTCCCGGCTCTCCCCGCCCGCCAACCTGATTGCACCGCATCGCTACCGCCGGCCCCCCGACAGTCAGACTTCGCCCGGCAGCCGGCTTCCTCGGACTTGATTTCTCACCTCCGGAGCCCCATCACCTCCATCCTCATTCCCTCGTCTCGCCTCCACCCCACCCCCCACCCCCCAATTTCCTCCTCCTCGCCCCTCATTTCCACCCTCCTCCCCCTCCCCCGGCCACTCCGCTAACTTGTGGCTGTTGTGATGCGTATTCCCGTAGATCCGAGCACCAGCCGGCGCTTCAGCCCCCCCTCCAGCAGCCTGCAGCCCGGCAAGATGAGCGACATGAGCCCGGTGGTGGCTGCGCAGCAGCAGCAGCAGCAGCAGCAGCAGCAACAGCAGCAGCAGCAGGAGGCGGCGGCGGCGGCGGCGGCGGCGGCGGCGGCGGCAGCGGCGGCGGCGGCGGCGCCCCGGTTGCGGCCGCCGCACGACAACCGCACCATGGTGGAGATCATAGCTGACCTCCCGGCCGAGCTCGTCCGCACCGACAGCCCCAACTTCCTGTGCTCCGTGCTGCCCTCGCATTGGCGTTGCAACAAGACCCTTCCCGTGGCCTTCAAGGTAAGAAGCTGCGGCGGCTGCTCCCCGCCCCCGGCCGGCCGGCCGGGCGCCTCGGGACCTGCCCGCCGGCGTCTCCTGGACCAAGGAGACCACGGGGACCACGGGGACCACCGGGACCCGGATAGGGTCTCAGGCCTCGCCTACCTTAGAGGCTCAGACCCGAGGGACCCCCCGGATGGCCCCCTTTCCTCCTGATCTCCCCGCGGGCTTAAGCGCAATGACCCCGCACAGATCCCTCTCTCTCCCACCTGTGCCCGCAGCCGCCACCTCCAGTCCGTGTCCCCTCCATCTGCTCATCACCCCCTCAAGCCTCCTGGGCAAAAAGTTCTCACCCACTCCTCTGAGTGAGCCGCCTCCCCTCCCCCCAGAGCCTCCAGGTGCCCACTCTTGGCGCCGCCACCCCGCCCCCATTTCCCAGGGGTGAGGATCCCCAGGACACATTTCCCCCGGTCCACCCCGCGTCTTCCTCCCAGGGCATCCCGGCCGGCCCTTCCCGGGAGTCCTCGCGTCCGGCCGGTCTGGGAGTCCCCGATCGGATCCGCTAAGTCCCAGCGGCCCCGGCCCATCCCGGGCTCCCGGAAGCGTGTTCCCGGGGTGACCGCTCCAGCAGTTCGCGTCCAGGGAGGGGCTCCCGCGGCGGCGCGTGGGCCGCGTTCCCGGGGCCCCAGAGGGTCGCGGGCAGACTCGCCCTGCGGGAGCCTGGGAGGTGGGAGGCAGGGCCGGGGTGTTCGCTCGGCTGGCAGGCTCGCGCCCGTTCCCTGCGCCGGGAGGAAGGAAGGCGGGGCCGCCGGGGTCGCAGCGCGCCCCGAGGCGGGGGAGCCCGGGAAGCGCGGGCTCGGACCCTCGAGTGCGGGAGGCGCGGGCCGGCGGAGGGGGCGGGGGCTCGGGCCGCCTCTTCCCACCGGGACTCCGCTCCCGCCGCGCCCAGCCCGGCGGCGGGGGGACCGGGAAACCCGTGGGATGGATGCCTTCCCTTTACCAGCCTGGAAATTGGAGGTGACAATTTTTGCGGATTCGTCTCTTATTCCTTCTAAGGGACTTGGATCCCGAAGCTCCCTCCTAGTTTCTGTAAGGTTGTGGGAGGCTCGGGCGGGGGGCCGGGGTGCAGAGGGAGTGACCCCCGGGTTTGGGAGCGCCCTCCGTGTCCTCCGCCGCCGCCGCCGCTACCGGGCCGTTAGTTTGGGGGCGGGTGTCGCCGGTACCGGCTGGCGAGTTGAGGATGTGGGGTCCAGAACAGTAGCCTGATGGGTGTCAATGAAGCGTCCCCAATTGCTCAGGCAGCCCTGGCCTGGGGGAGACGCGGGGCCCCTAGGCGGAGCTGGGTTGAAGCGAAGCGGGTTCCCGGGCAGTCTCGGGAGGAGACGCCTGGATGGAGGGGGCCGCCCGGTGGAGCCATCCGCGGGGAAGAGCCTCCTCAGAAAGCCGCTGCTTCTGGCCCCATCTAGCCTGGACCCATGGGCTCTGGGATCTAAGGAGAGCAGGGTAGCTAGGGGATGGGGTAAAGGTAAGAAAAAGGAGGAATTATGCCAGATTCTTCACTGTGGACCCTGGGCTCCCAAGGCTACTGGCAGTTCCCAGTTGTGGATTGCCCCCATCCTCCCCCGTCCCCCCAGGCGTCAGTTGAGATTCCATGTGTGGGTGTGGGTGGAAAGAGAGGAGTCCAGGTCAATTAGAGCTGGTTATCTCCCTGGGTCTTCTATCAGAACAGAAATCAGAGTGAACTGTTATGGACAGGGGATGCTGCATTCTGGGGCAAGTTTCATTTTGCACTTGGCTCAAGAAATGTATGTGTGAGCGCTCTAACCGTCCCATGTCTCCTTTTATAAACCACCCATTCTGTAGGTTGTTTTCTTATTGAAAAGCTCAGAATAGTGTAGCATCTTAAATTTCTGTACAGGAGGTATCTTCTACAATGTTCCTCGTCCAAGGGCCCAGAATTTTCTAATTAGCTTTTATTTCTAACCCTCTCCCCCCACCAAAAAACCCCAAACATCCCCCCAAAAAAACTGTATAATAAGCATATATGTTGTTTATACAATGCCACAAGTCAAGTTATGTGAAAATTTAAGGATAAGTGCCTGCATTTTTAAAGATAACAATTAGACGTTTGGTGGTCTGCATTCTGTTTGTTCTGCCAAACATGGTTAGGTATAACTGTTTTGAACTATTCTTTCATATTCATGATGCTGAATTGATTTCGAACTTTAGTATTTTAGATAGAAAGGGTGTTTTGGGCACACAGATAGGATGCAATTAGTTTGACCTATTCTCAGATTTTGGTTGCACAGAGGGCTCTGTGCTCCATCACCTTTAAAAAATTATTTTAAAAAGAAATTGCTTTCTTTGCTATTAATCATATTTATGGTTACGTAGGGTGATTTTACTTGTAATCAGCAAACAAAGCCATAGATAACACATGACCACATTAAAATAAATATTAAAAACGTATCAACTGAAAAAGAAATTGAGTTAACCTAAAATGTGAACTCCCATATCTGTGTTTAACAGAATTCAAATAGTAGGTAATAGCTGAGGTCCACTTAATATAGACGTTTTGTCTCTGCTGAAAAGGATGTGTAGATATTTGGAACATCCAGATATAGGCAACAATTTCTGTTTTCCTCTGAATGTTAGTAACAGCAGACTCTCTTTACCTTCCTTTTGAGATAAGAGCCTGAGAGCAGTAGACTTCCCACACTTGCAACAAAACCAAATACATCTATAATGAAGAAATAACATGAAGAAGTCCCAGTTTTAAAAATAATGAGAACAGTTTGGATATGATAAAGCCATGTGCCAAGTTAATTATAGTGTTATTGGGTAGATAACAGGTACATATTATATCTTCAAACACACAGAGAACGGAATTGTTGAGAAATCTGATATTCACATCAATACAGTATTTATTGAGCCTGTATTTTATGTCTGTGACACTGAGCTCACCACTGTAAGAGAATGAGAAATGAATTCAATGAACTGTGCATTGATATGTTCATTTAAAACAGTGCTTCAAAGTGATATTAACCACGTATTGTATTAAGTCCTAAGTAAAGTGTTAGTATTATCCACCTGATCTTGTTTAGGGATTAAACAAGAATCCTTAATTCGGTTCTACTCAACACCAGCATACTTTAAAATATATAAAGTTGTTTATAAGCATTGTATTTTTAACAAAGTTCTGCAGTTTTGGAACGTTCAGTCCTCCCAGGTGTCAAGGAAATGGAAATAAATATTTTTAACATTTCTTTCAGGTGTATCTCACCGAAAGCCTAAAATAGTTAAGACATACTATTAGAGGATCCCAGGCCTTTCTGTCCTTGAAATTGTAGTGACAAAAAAGCAGTTTGCAAATTCATCCCTTTAGTTAATGGTCAGATAGGAAAGAAGAGAGTAAGCCAACCCTGCATCCAGTAGCACCCTTGCAGTGAGGGGTCTGTCAGCATTTCCACCATGAAGCCTGGTGTTCAGGGTTCATAACTCAGTTGCTTTAAATAGCTTCAAGCTGAAACACTATGCAGAAATTTTAAGTCCAGATGTACATTTTAAAACTATAGTAAGCGCACAGCTATTGTGCTGTTTTAAGTTAGAGAACATTGCACTATATATTTACCAGTATCATATGTTTTTCTGGCAATGTTAAAGAAAACACATTTTTAGATATATGATCTATTACTCATAGTTAATTCTGTATGCTTAATGATAGCTTTCAGTATTTGTCATAAGTAGGGTTTCAAAATGATGGAGCAATGGGCTGAAAATAAATTTTTTTTGACATCATTGGCCTATTTTCAGAAACAAATATGCAACTAATAAATATTTGACACTAGTGAGTTGTATTTTCCTTACATATTGAATGATCAGGTTTTTATGTTTGTGTCTTTTTAATATAATTATACCTAAACAAAGAGAAACAGGTTATTAAACTAGTTAATACCTTATTAAGCCTACCATGAACTGTTAGGCAAAATTATGTAAATCACAATAGATTTCAAGTTGTGTGAAGATAGACACATTTTTTGTGTTATGCCTTTAAATACAATCCAATTATTTGAAATTAAAAATGTTAGGACTGAATATATAAGACATATTGGTAAAGTAATTGAAATAAAAACTTTTAGATGGAAAATAAATATTAGAAAACTTACATTTGAAAACAGGCATGACAAGGTATCTTTCATTATATTTTCCCTTTGTCATTGCTATGTTTGTATCCTTCAAAAATTTTTCAGAATATACATTGTTAGATGATATAAACCAACTTAAAACATGGCACATATATTCTTGGTTTAAATTGGAATAATTTTAATCTATTTTCTCTTTGACATTTATTCTAAAAATTATGAAATGACACTTTATATTGTATTTACTTTTTTCTCTTCCATTCAATGGGTGTTCCTAAATTCTAGGTTAAACTTGAAAAATTAACTGTAATATTTGTGAAATATTATTTGTGAAAGTTTTTGATAGTTTATTTAAAGTTATCTTTAAATAATTACCATAAGATTAAATTTTTTTCTTGTTGCAACTATTTCCATACCTTGCTTTTATTTCAAAGGAAGATTTGATCAGATTCTATATTAAAAAATAATTATATTTCAATTTTGCTGCATGTACAACATGCCAGATCATATTGGTCTGTAAGAGTAATTGATTAGTTAAGACTAGACTTCTGTTCATGGAAATGTAATGGGCAATTTTTATTTCCGTATAATAAGACCACAAAAACAATTTTAAGAGTCTGAGTTAATTCTCTACTGCTCCTCTTTCAAAGTAATTTACAGATTTAGTCATAAGGAATCTTATACAAAATTTCAGTAGTGTTTCTAGAGTTAAATAAATATTCTTTATTTTGTACAAGCTGCACGTCATGTGATTTAAATACCGGTTATAGTGAGGTGTGCTAAATAAAGGAACTTCTTTCTCAAGTCTGAAATGCCAGGACGTAAAATGACTTCTCTTTCCCATGAAGTTTCTTGAATTTGTAGATTTTATGTTTTAAAACACTTAAAGACGTAGTTGTTAAGGTTTCATCACAGATTATTCTCTGTAGAACAGAAGTTTTGTATTGGGGAGCACGGAAACTAACTTGAATGTGTGCTTGCTCCTAACTGGTTAAGGAGCAATTTTTGTCTGCTCTCTCTGCCCCTTAAAATGTTTTCCATTGCTTGGGTTTGGTACAGATGAAATGTGCAAAAAGTTCTTGATTCTTTTGATTTTCTTTTAGATAAACATAGTTGAAAATCTTCAAGGGAAACGTTTTAGCTTCAGAAATCTACTATAAAAAAATCTCAAACATATAATTTCGCTCCTGACTGGTATAAACTCAAATATAATACCCCCTTCCCACTTTTCCCTCAGAAAAAAAAAAATTAGGCAATGAGATTTGGTAGCGTATATAGCAGGAAAAAAAATAACCCAATATATCAATATTTAACCATTAAAATAGAGTTCAGCCATAACAGGAAAAGTTGTCACTATATCATTTTAGTTAGCATTTTTTTTAAAGGCCAAGTTCTAAAATCATAGAAGACTCACAATTTGTGATTACCTATTTGTTTTCTTATTAAATATAATACGTAAGACATACCAGTATTTAATATGGTCATTATTATGCTGCTTAAGCAAAGTAAATGGATTTATGTATTTCACTCTTAGGGACCTTTTCTTTCATATTTTCCCATATTGAATCAATTTTCCTTTTCTTCTAACTAAAAAAAACCCCATTATGTTAAAAATATGCAGTAAAATAATAATGTCCCAGAGCTCTTGAAAATCTTCATATTGGGGCAGATTTCTTTACTTTCTTCTGAAATTTAGCCATACTGGAGAGAAACCCATCAGCAGTTATCTTTTATCTTTCAACAGCAACAACAACAGAAAAATCCCAGGACATAAAGTGAAGAATTACATATTCAATAGAATCCTTTAAGGATGCTCCCAAGTAAAAGCCTATATTTACCACATAGCAGACTTGGAATAGAAGTGAGCCTCCTCATCTTACAAAAAGTACATCATTACAATTACACTCTATACTTATACAGTTTCTTCTACATTTTACAGACTTAAAAAAGTTATTTCCAATTTATGTTGGAAAACTGTGGTTCCTGGAGATGAAGTGACGTGTATGAGATCATAGCAGAGGTGGGGGGAAAAGCAGGGCCTCTTGAGTTTGGGGGCATTCATTCTCTTCTAAACAGTACAGCTTTTTCACCTTCCTTAGTACCCTTACTGGTTCCATATTTATTTTGACATAGAATGCCACACACACAGCAGGTGTTAAAACGCAATACGCTGAGTGTGAAAAAAAATGCCCAACACTGAGACGAATCCTGGCAAATGTAGTCAATTATTTCAGTATTTTCAAATGTTCACATTTTTGACATTGTGAGTTTAAAAAATTGAAAAGCCCATTGCCCCCATCAGCAATACAGCATTACCTACATGGTCTGTAGCCACTTGAGGCACTAGATCAAGTATGTAGGGAGGAAGTCATGTTCTCAAGGCATTTACCCTTGACCTGGGACTCTTCTCAGATTCAAGAGAGTAACCATATACGATGAGTAAAGGATCTTTGGCGTGATTCCCCCTCCTCTGGGATGGAAAAAGTTGTCAGAAAACTAGTTTGAAGCAAGGGCACTTGCCTCTAATGAGGCGTGCTGAGTCAACCTTTAACTGGGTCTCTCTCGTAGAGTTTTATCTGGTAGTCTCACAGACTGCTGGCTGTGGGACATGATGCTTTTTTTGGGGGTGGGGGAGCTCTTTAATTTGTTTATTTCAAAGGTATTTATCCAACACTTACTATTTGCCAAGCAGTTTTGGGAATTGGGCATAGTACTGAGCAAGACAGATAAAGGCCCTTCCCTCTTATAATTTTCAGCCTAACATAAATTTGGACTTTTAGGAGTGAGTCTCAGTTTTGGGCTAGTATATCAAAAGGAGTAGATACATTATTGATACATGCACATTGAAATGAGGATTATTTGAGCAAGGTGGAATGCTGTGAAAGTGGGCTTTGTAATTTAAGAAAAGCTCTAGAATTTTAAACTGAATAACAAACTGCTAAAGAAGGAATGGAATTGAAAAATAGCCTAAGACAAAAGCATGGGCTAAAAAATGACAAGTTCATTGTTCCCCTCCACGCCCTTGACTGGAGCAGAGGGTAGAGCAAAGGAGTATTGAGTTAGGGTTCATGGGTAGGAGAAATTAAGCCCCAAAGTACAGTTACAGTGTCTGTTTTATCATAGTCTGAGGACTCTGCTTTGATGAGAGCAAGTATGAATTGTATTGGGAGCAGGGAATTAAATGCTTAGGTTTGCCTTATAGAGGAATGGGATATTTGCCAAACAGGCAAGCACATATGGATGTCAATGTCAGAGAGTGAGGAAGAGATGGAAATAATCTGGATATAGGATCCTGGAAGTTAGTTTAGAGAAAGGACATTATCAAGTGTCAGTGTCCTGGTAGTGGAACTATGAGTACTGTGCTTTATACATGACAGCAAAGGCCCTGCACCAGCATTCCCTTCCCAGGCGCCATGTTCATCTGGGGCACCCATTCGGAAGTTAGCTGATCCGGGTTAGAAGTGTGATCCCCAGCCTTGGAGCAGTGAAAATGTGTTTTAGCCTCAAAGACTGATTATGCTGGGCCCTTATTTGCTTGATTAATATGCCGAAGGTTAACTGTGGAAGGTTAAGGAGGCAAATGTGTCATTCCAAGAGGTCAGATGGGGAAAAGACAGAACTCATTTGTCAGTCATCATGATCAGCCTGTTTTATGTCTTTATGCTGGACCTAGACTTTATGCTTCTTGGTGACTGTATATCTCACTGAGTCCCAGCAGAGTGGACATTTAGTAACTGTTTGCAGTATGACTGACAGTAAGTAAATCTAACCCAAAGCAAGGAGCTGGAACGTAGTCCTGGATACCACACCATGTTTAGGCCTCCCTATAGTCAGGAGCTCCAAGGCTTCACCTAAACGTCTTCTCTTCCTTCTAAGGCTAAGGCCTGTGACCCGGATGAGACCACACCTCAGGCTGCTCCTGGCTGCAGACAGGCGCTGCCTTAATATGCACAATGCAATCTGCAGATGGGGCATCAGCCTTCCTTCTGTGGCCTAATTCCTATGGACAACCTAACATGGGGATTTAATAAAAATGTATATATATTCCGTGAAGAATGCAACAACAAATGAAGGGAACTTTTGCCTGCCTTTGAAATGGGTGGACCCTGCAACGTTGGTCTGTTTGAAGTGGCATCCTAACCCATATGCAGATGCTTCATTTCTGTCTGCCATTACTGGACTAGAGCACTAAGTCCTGACAAAACACATCGTTTGCCATGAGCACGTAGTCCCGGTTTTTAAGCTTTCCTGATGTGCCATTATTGCTGCTGTGTTTCCTATTTTATGTAGGTGGTAGCCCTTGGAGAGGTACCAGATGGGACTGTGGTTACTGTCATGGCGGGTAACGATGAGAATTATTCTGCTGAGCTCCGAAATGCCTCTGCTGTTATGAAAAACCAAGTAGCAAGGTTCAACGATCTGAGATTTGTGGGCCGGAGTGGACGAGGTAGGTCTCTGATTTTTAATATTGGTAATGGAATAAACACATTAGGATCCTCTGATGACATGTAGACTAGTCTGTATACAAATCAGCACCCTCTTCTACTGAACTGAATTATTGAAGGTTTTACTTAAATATGTCCAGATGAAGCAGAGTGTTTCTCTGAGTGCTCAGGCCTTTTTCATTTGTTTTATGATATTGAATATTCAAACAAGGTTTTCAGAGAACTCTTTCCTAATTTCATGGGGTGTGAGCACATAAGGTGGAGAGAAGAACAGTTGGAGGTTCAAGCTATGAATTATGAGGAGCCAAACAACTGAGTAAATTTAGTGGCAAAGGGGAAAGAAAAGGAATGCATTGGATCAATTTCCTGATAATACCAGTTTTGCTCTAATTGGTAGCAAGGACAGTTGATATACTGCTTATCACTTATCACATATGTTACTTCTGTATGAGTTAATTTATTCTTATAATAAAACTCTATTTAAAAATAGTTTTGTTTTTTTTAACAAAAGGCTTTTCATTTGAATAAATGAATAATGTGTTACTTGTGTTAGAATGACTATATAGTTGCCTAGACAGATGAAGATCAGAACTTGAAATATTTCCACATTATTTAAGGGTTTATGCCATCTAAATGCTAATATTCAAATATTAGGAATCCTTTAAAAAGATCATAAAATAGAAAATAATCCCTTTTAGGTTTTTTTATAGCTATTTTATAGGAATGTTTTTTTTAAAAGTCTCTAAGGAAACTGATTTTTTGGCTTTACTTATTGTACAGAGAGACTTTTAATAGTCATTCTTTAGAAGTATTATGTTAATTTATTTATTTATTGAATCTAATATTTCCATTTTAAGTATTTCAATAATAGGAGAGAAAATAGACCACTTTAGGATTAAGGTGAAATAAATCATAAAGACCTATAGAATTACTCTTACCCAGGTTTGAATTAGGAAATGAGAAGCATCAATTTTTAAACTATGCTCAGTAATTGCTCTTTAGTTTGGATCAGATGTCAAATTATTACCATTGTAAAAACTTGATAAGGGAAATTCAAGCAAGACTGTTTCCGATGAGTAGTTTTAGTTTACTTTCTAGGAACAGGGCCAAGAAGTTGTACTTTTTAACTTAAAATAAAATGATGCATGCTAATGAGATTCTGTCACTGAAAGGTTGTTTGAAATGAAATGAGGCTCAGGGCCTATGGTAGAATCAAAATTAAAGGGGTTATTTCTGCATCAGGGTTAGTTTACTTTCATTAAAAAAGAAAAAGGCACATCCTCTCTCACTATTGACTGATTAGGTGTGAAGTGCGTATATGTATGTATTCATTCATTTTTTTCCCCCTCTCATTTTTTTCTCTCTCAGCTATTGGTGAAGGTCCACAGCACCATTAAGCTTCTTTTTTTTTCTAGTAAGAATCAAGAAAGATTCGAACATGATGACATACCTGTATGTTCTGAAGTACATTGCTCTTCTTATGTCATATTACTTTGTTGTTAACTGGAGTAATGAATTTTAGTATCTAAAAGATTAGACACTATACTTTATTTCACTTTACAGATTCCAGCTAGTGTTTCCATTTATCTTGCTTTTGTATTATGTAGATGCTGCATAACTTTTCTCTGATCAATTTGAGTAGAAACTACGGCAAAGTGATAGTGTACTTTGTAAACCCTCAACATATTTATTTAAGGAACTTCAAAGAGAAACAAAGGGTGTGCACTGTTTTACTGTATTGGCTTTCTGAGTTTTGGCTGGTTTCCCAAATAGCAATTTTTATATTTAAAAAAAAAAAAAGACAGACTTAACTGCTTGCAGACTTTTCACGCATGGAAGATGAAGAAAGCTTCTTTTGATGAAGTGTAATTATGTCCAAACAGAGCTGACCCCCTCCCCCTATATTTCTTATGATCTTAACTGAAGAAAGTAGGATTTTTCCTTTGAAGCAGCCGGGACTTGGTGGAGGATCTGAAATGCTACAGTCTGCTGCCAGAGGCAGGATGGAGAAATTGGTCCAGACTTGTCTTCGAGACTTAGATGGGGAGTCGGGGGAGCGGGTGGAGAGAGAAAGAAAAATTGATTTATCACTAATAATAGATTTTTATATCACTACATTAACATTATATGAAAGGAAACAGTAATATCAAGCTGTAATGAAGAGTGAAATGGGACAGAGAACATTGATAAGAGTAACCACTCTTTGTTAAAAAAAAAAAAAAAAGAAGAAGAAAAAAGGGTCAGTTTTTCAGTGGCAGGAAGCTCTTTAACCTGCCTATGTACCTGTCCTGTTTTCAAATAGACTCTTTCTATCTTCTTCTTTGATTTTCACACTTCTGTATTTCTCTTAAATTCTTAAGTCTGCATCAGTATGCTGCTACTACTGTTATTTTTTCCCCAGCTATTTAAAAATTTCTCTTTCCAGTAGCATTTGAAAAATAACACCAAGTTCCCCAAATGATTGTAGTTTTTCTTTTCACGGGTAGAAATAAAAACTCTCAGAAACCGAAAACCAGTGTTGGATTTATCAAGGCGTCACATCACTACTTACTTTGGCTTTATGGGTTATCTCATGACCGCAACTTCTGGAAGTGCTTTGGCATAAAAGTAGAACATCAGTGAAACCTGCATGCAGTTAGGAGTGGCTTATTGTGTTCTCATTGTCTTCTCCCTTTTAGCCTTTATATTTTAAACGGAAGAATGTAAGATGCCTTGGGTCCTTAAGCTTTCTTAGTGTGCTTCCTCACTTTGGACATCAAGCATGCTGCTTTTAATTATAAGCATTTTAAAAAGCACCTCCGGTACACAGAGCCTGGGACTCTGTCCATTTAGGCCGCAATTCCAGCTTACAGGCTTAGCCTTCCTGGCTGACTGAGCCCCTCAGGTTAGATTGGAATTGTCTTTTAATGGCAGGTTCTGTGTTTATCTTAGAAAAAAAATATATGGATGATGCAGTAAGAGACTGCATTTTACAGTAGGAGGAGCCTGAATTTTTATCATTTATGGAAAGTGATAAAAAAATGGGATTTGGAAAACTTTTTTTTTTTTTTTTTTTTTTTTTTTTTTACCTTTAAGGAAAGAATAAATACTCACAGAAACATTTGACTTAGCAAATGTATTATTATTAATAGGGTAAGGTGAAGAACCAATCACCTGGATGGGTGGTAGTGTCTGGAGCATTACATTCATGTTCGTCCTGAAGGAGCAAAAAGAAGTAGAAAGAACCTCCTTGGTTTTGGTTTTAGTTGTTAAAGTACATCTTGATCCTTAGGATTTGATTTTTGAAGACAGTAGTTATAATCAAATACTCATCACCCCCTCCCCACAACCCACTTCTTTTTAAAAGAGATCTTCATAGAAAACGTGTTCCACGTTGAACATTTAGAAGCTTTTTGCTTACAGAGTGAATTCTGTATTTGGCTTTTGTCCCTCCATGAGGTGTTTCTCTGAATTTGGGATAAGCATCGGTGACGTTTAACATCCTATGTAAGTTCCAAAGGTCTCAAATGGAAAGTTCTCAGAACCAGTTTAGATAAAGTCATGGACAGTAGCTCTAGCAGGTTATTTAGAGACATTAAAGACACTTGGGATGTGTGATAGTACATCCTCGATATATTGAGATTAGCCAGGGATGACAACTACCTTCCAAGAGATGCATTTCTGACTCACAACCATTGATATAACCCAGGATGGCATCTTTTTAAAAAAAATATATTTTATTGATTTTTTACAGAGAAGAAGAGAAAGGGATAGAGAGCTAGAAACATCGATGAGAGAGAAACATCTACCAGCTGCCTCCTGCACACCCCCTACTGGGGATGTGCCAGAAACCTATGTACATGCCCTTGACCAGAATCGAACCTGGGACCTTTCAGTCTTCAGACCGATGCTCTATCCACTGAGCCAAACCGGTTTCGGCAGGATGGCATCTTTTTATGGTTTCATGTAAATTAATGTTCATCCTAAGGATTCAGCCTCTTCACTCCTCAGGACAGATCTTCCCATTGTTTTGAGGTCCTGACCTGGATCCAGTGGCTTTCTATTCAACTTTCTAATCTTGATGTCTGTGGGTTTTGAGTTTTCTGTAACTAGTTTAGACTCCTGGCTGTCTTATTCTTCTGGTTAGTTTTAATGTATATAATAAATCCTGTTCTCTAATGAGATAATTAAACCACTTACATCCATGTAACTTCCAGTATATAATAATGAGCTATGATACATTAATGACACTAAGAATAGATGCTTTTATCATCTTGGCCAAGATATGGTGTTAGTAGATTTATATTTACTGTTTATTGGTCTTATAGAGTATTTTGGGACACATGTAGAAATAAATTACCTATTAATTTTTGTTTAATGTGTTCTGGCAATGTTAAAAAGAAGAGCACTCATTTTGGGGTCTGGAAGAACTAGGTTTGGATCCTGACTTTTTCCACTTAGTAGCTGTGTGGGTAAATTACTAAAGCCTCTTTGAGCTTCAGTTTTTTCCTGTGTGAAATGGAGGTGATAAACGTAACTGAATAGGATCAAATGAGGTCATGTGTATGAACCTGGCACTTCATAGATTTCTAATCAATATTCGTCTCCCCCTTCCTTGCATTCCTGTGTTTTCTTTCCACTTTCCCCCCTTCTCTTGGGTATAGAAAAGTATAGCTAAAGAGACTTAAAACTATATATATCCTGAGTAACAAATGATGTGTGTCTTAAACATATTTTAGGAACTTATATGGTTTGGGTTGAAAAGAAAACCCATTCACTAGACTTGACAGTCAAAGACCTGTTCCACATTAAGCCTTGTATATAACCTGTTCCATATTAAGCTTTGAAAAGATTGCATTAAACTTTGCATTGATACATATTGTTTCAGATTTGTGTTTTGATTTAATACCCTCAGCTTTCAGTAAAGGGAAAAAACAGTCTCTGACCGAAAAAAACAAAGCAAGACAAAATGAGCTTTTTAAAGGTCTGTTACCCAGCAGGCTAAATGAGTCCTCTGGCCTGAGATTGCTGAATGTTTTATTGAGTCACTGTTTCACGCCCACCTTTTCCTGTCTTGTAACAGTTTGCAGTTTTGACTATCTGACATGACTAACCGTTGCAAATCTAACTGATTACAACTGTCAGTGAGTCTGTGTAACAGAGCCTGGTATCCTCTGCTGGAGAAATAAAGAAACCCTAATCTGCTACCAAAGTTTTCCCTGTCTTTCCCCCTCCATTCATCACTTGTAGTTCATTAATTAGAAACATTCAGATGTGATATTTCCATGAAGCACACCCTCTGCTAAAAGCAAAACTTCATATTTATATTGGGAGGTGTCCTGTACAGTTAGCAAAAATAAGTCACTGTCAGGGAGTTATTTGAAGATTTAGCAGCAGGATGTACGTTAGGGGAGGGGTGGGCAGGGAGGAGGAGATCTTTGTTCCAGTAATGATGAAATCATCATACCACAGGCACATTAAGGCCGGGACAGGAGACACCAGCTCCTGTTAAAATGATTCCCATAAGAACCTTCCTCTTTCATCTTCTTATTGTAGTACAGTTGAGCAAATGAAATGCTAAAGCCATGTGAAGTAAATAACATAATCAACAGTGATTTACTATTGTTCTCTCAAGGGGTCATGACCTAATCCTAAATAAAGACTTCTAAAATTGTCTGTGCTTGGATGTGTTCCTGATGTGGGAGAAAACTGAAAGGAAGAGAACCTTCTTCAAGTGGACCAGATTTTTGTTTTCATTCATTACAACTATGGCTACTGAGCAGGTTTTTCTCTTTTCTTTCCCCTTTCCTTTCCTTTCCTTTCCTTTCCTTTCCTTTCCTTTCCTTTCCTTTCCTTTCCTTTCCTTTCCTTTCCTTTCCTTTCCTTTCCTTTCCTTTCCTTTCCTATCCTATTCTATCCTATCCTATCCTTTCTTTAATTTGGAGCTGCCTTGTATAGTACTGCAACGAAGATGAAGCTCTCAACACTCAATGAGTTTAGTATCTTCCTACAGTGGCCATTGAAGAGATTCTCATTTAGAATAAGGTGTCTTATTTCTCTTTGTTTCATTACCAACTTGGAGATACTTAAATGAAGCTTGGACATCTGTGCTGTTATATTGTCATCAGTATTATCTTTTTATACTCACTATGGATTTTTCTCTTTTACATCTGCAGGCAAGAGTTTCACCCTGACCATAACTGTCTTCACCAATCCTCCCCAAGTAGCCACCTATCACAGAGCTATTAAAGTTACAGTGGACGGACCCCGGGAACCCAGAAGTAAGTCCTTGCCTTCCCATTGGAAATGGTAATAGAGTGTGCACAGGCCCCAGGAGGAATTTATCCCAAATGAGTTAGTGCTACTCCCATGTAAATAGTTTCTTTGCGAATTGGCTATCTGCACATATTTTTAGTGAGGGACAGTTAGTACAACTTCACATAGAGTAGAGAAAGAAATTATACTTTTAACCTCTGCCACAAAATTGCTAAGGCCTACATAATTTTGGGAAATGAGTGAATAGTTATTCACTCACTGTAACTGTTTTCTAAGAGATTCTACTCATCCACTGGACCCAATAAGACGGGGCAGATCAGACCCACGAGAGCTGAGGGAGAAAAGAATAAACTGAAAACTCTTGAGCTTAGTCAAAAAGCATTTGCGTATGTTTCCCATGGTCTAAGAATGTGTTTTAACTTTTTACCTCGCCCACTCAATTCCCTTTGTAAAGAGCGCACTGCTTAATTACAAAGAATTTATTTGCAAACGATAACTTGCTTGATTGTTACAACACTGTTGTTCGGTCATGTTCTAGTAATTGTGATAGATAGTTTCTTTTAACAGAAAGAGTCCAACCAGGTTTAAATCCATCTTGGTTTATTTGTCTGTCTGGACATCCAGAAAGTTTAATGAAACCAGCATCAGTTTAAAGAAGTGCACATAACCCGTTTGGGCTAATATACATTTTCCTCCTACATCTAAATAGAAACTGGTTTGGTTTCCCCCCTTCCCCAAACTGTTTTGAACAGACTTGGCATAGCAGCATTGAAATGTATTTAGAGAGTAGCGATTATTCGCCATATACAACATGAAAAATTCTGTGCCAATGGAAACATCGCATAGGACTCGCTGCCTTTGATGAATTGAATACATTGGAGACCTAGCCATTGTGTTCAGAGTTTAATTTGGTTTGTGTGGGGGTACACCTGGCAGAAATATTTGTTATACCACAATACACCGGCCTAGACAGGGAGAGTGGCATACCCTTTCTTCCCCTAAAACCGAGAAAAGGGCTGGCGAATTTTGCCTCGGCCCAAGTGGGAGCATACGGTGTCTTCCGTTCCTCCTGCGGCTGTCTCTTTTCACAAAAGCTGACTGCTTGCCTGAACGAGGGAGGTTTCCTGCCTCAGAAGCCAGTCTTTGAGGTTTTTCCTTTCTCCTTTCATGTGCATGGCTTTCTTCCAGGTTCCCAATGTTGGGTCAGTGCTGGCCCTGTCTGTTCAGTTGGAGAATGTCCTATGAGGTGCTTGCCGTATGCTTGTCTCCGGTTGCACTAAGTCTCCATTCACAGGGGCCAGTGGGGATGCAGTGCAGGTGAACAGCGCAGAGCAGGGCTATCTTGCCCGGTTCGGGGCTTTGCCTGACTTTTCTGGACTTGCCATCAATCTGGGATGAAGCCTTACGATAGATGGAAGACATCTTCTAACATTTGATCTAATTAGCCCCCGAGTTCCTGAAAAGGCAGGGACATCCATTTTCGTAAGGCACAAAGCAGGAGAGGATACTTATCTCTTAAAGATGTTTCCTGCCGATCTCAGCCGCTTTTCTCAGTTCTTGGAAAAACCATTAGGGGGTGTGTGTGTGTGTGTGTGTGTGTGTGTGTGTGTGTGTATCTGTGCGTTCATACACTCAAGCTTGATGCTTAAAAGCTGATGAGTGGGAGAGGAAACGGGGAAGGGTGGGTACTGACACATTCTGAAAGATGTGACAAAAGGTAGCATTGAGAAAGTCACTTCTCTTTCAAGTGAGGATGACATGACTCTGTTCCGAAGAGGCTGTTGGCAGTATGAATTAGCTGATAGGCTCAGTGCCCTGTAAAGGCAAAGAAGCGAGGACTAGGGGTAGCAGGGCTGGATGGTACATGTGTGACTTGAGATCAAGCTGTGGGTACTGCTGAGGTGTGAGGGGGAAGTAGATACAGATCTTGAGTGGCAGACCACTGCCCTAGATCAGCCTGAGTGACATTTCTCCAGAACCAAAAGTATTGTGAAAAGGTGATGTCATTTCTCTGACATCATGAGGTGACTGAGTGTCCGGATATAAGGATGGGTCTGGTATTAGTAACATCTTAACCCTACAACCTGGGCCCACTGTGCTGGGTTATTTCCTTCTGCCCTGCTCTTGGCCACCCTGGGCACTAAATGTAATATTGCATGCTTCCCAATATTGTTCTTTAATTGTGAGTCTCACGGATGTGGAAAATGCCCAGGATTTTCAACTGTGAGTATAGTAGGATGTTGATGGATTGGCATGTGTACATAATGTTAAATGATAAAAGCTCTAGAACATGGTTTGGCAAACTTTTTCTCTGAAGTGCCAGATATAATAGTAAGTACTTTCAGCTCTGCGGCCATATGATCTCTGCCAGGAGTACTCGCCTCTGCCATTGTAGCGCAAAGGCAGCCTTAGCCAGTACATAAATGAATGCTTGTGGCTGTGTTTCAATTAAACTTTATTTACAAAACCAAGCGATGGGTCAGACTTGGCACACAAGTTGCCGTTTGTCAACACTTGCTCTAGATCAGCAATTTTCAACCAGCGTGCTACAAGAATTTTTAAAATATGCAATATCTGACCTCTTTTCCCTGAGACTGTCAAATAAAAAAGTGACAACAGCTAACACAACAATAGCTGTCCGGCGTGAATCAATCAAAATTATTATTATTATTATTATTTTTTGGTCAGATTGGTAAAACCATAATCTATTTTTTGGTGTACCACAGAATTTTGGTAATGTGTGCCATGAGATGAGAAAGGTTGAACACTGCTGCTCCAGATTTCAGAAAGGTTTATTTTATTGACCATTAACAGAGAAGGGCTATAGAAAAAGGTTTTCCTGAGGGGCAGAGAAAAATCAGACAATGCAATTGTTTTAGCCTCCTCTTCATTGTAATTCTTTAAGTAATGGTTGTCATAGAAATGGTGCACATTTGTTTATTACTCTAATGGTTTGAAGCTGAGGATCCTGTACCATTGATTCCTGTTAAGGAATTTCCCTCTTCCCTCTAACGGTCTGAGTAAATGTTGAAAAGACTCCTTCTGGTAGATCAGCCATCTGAACAAGGACAAGTTCTGGGTTAACTGGCTGGGTCGTTATTCAGCAGAGCATAGTGATTAAGGGTGTGGGCTTTGGTGTCCAGCTGTCTGGATTGAAATCCCAGCTCCAGCCGAAACCGGTTTGGCTCATTGCATAGAGCATCGGTCTACGGACTGAAAGGTCCCAGGTTCAATTCTGGTCAAGGGCATGTGTATTTGTTGTGGGCACATCCCCGGAAGGAGGTGTGCAGGAGGCAGCTGGTAGATGTTTCTCTCCCATCGAAGGTTCTAGCTCTCTATCCCTCTCCCTTCCTCTCTGTAAAAAATCAATAAAATATATTAAAAAAAAAGAAATCCCAACTCCACTTACTAGTTGTACGGTGGCAGGCAAGTTACCCAACTTCTCTTTGCCACAGTTTGCTCATCTGTTCAAATGAGAATAATTGTAATAGTATCTTCTTCATCAGCTGCTGTAAAGATGTTGAATGATGCGGTGTATGTGAAATGCACAGGGCAGCGACTGTCATGTAGTGGGTGCTCATGAAGTGTTAGCTTTTATTACAGCAATTTCCTTCAGCGTCAGAAGTTTGTTGTGAGTTTTGTTTATCGTATGCTTCCAGGAAATAGATACCATCTAGATTCTGCTCTCCAGTGCATTGTTATTTTTTTTCCCCTTGCAGATGGCTTTACTAATTTCTGCTCATTAGTACATGACACTAATGAATATTATAAATTGTGTCTTGAGCAGGTATCCATGCTGCCTGGAGACAGCTGTGCAGAACTGACGATTCTGTTTGCAGCAAGGCAGAGTCCAAGGGAGGATGCTAGGGCCCGAGTGCCCTCTTTGAGGCCCTGGTTATCAACACATCTGCCAAAACTTGCTTTTCACTAAAAAATCAGAACGGTTTTATCCTCCTATGTTTTCTGTCTCTGGCAGCTGAGCCGGCGCTGTCACATCACAAACAACTTCTCTTCTTAATATACACATCTGGCGTTGGCAGTTGGACTCACTTCATAAGAGCACATGATCATCACTCATTACAAGATTAAAAAGTACCCCATGGCATCATTGATGTTTTCTAACTTTGATCTTTTGCAGTTGTGATTCATCTCAGTTATAAAACTTCCCTTTAAAGGAACATAGCCGATGACTTATTAGAACCTTCATCTTAAGTAGCGTAAACATGAAAACGGTGCACATCTTTACGAAATGCCATTTATTTTCGTTGCCAGCTTATCATTTTAAGACATGACATCATATTTAAGATCCCAAATTTGTAAGTCTTGTGTTTAGGCAGGGCGTTTTGACCTCCTGTTGGCAAGTTAGCTCTGAGGAGCTACTTCCGTCTGTTCGCCAGCCGGAGAAGTCCGTGGAACGGCGGCAGCAGTAATGCATTTGGAGACCTGGCTCTTTCACGCGTCAGTTCCTGTTAGGGTCCTTTGTTCCATGGATGCGCTGGGTTCCAAGAGCAGTCTGATTTAAAGGATTTCTGCAGGAAGGTAAAAGCTTGGTTAGCAGTGTCCTGTTCTATGGTGAGGGAAGAGGACTGATGATAAAGGCGTTGTTGGCTGTGCAGAGGATGGAGAAATAAGCTGTCTTACATGGTCAGCATCCTTTTAACTCTTGCCTCTTTTCCAGTTATCTATCCTATATAATAAAGAGGTAATATGCAAATGGACCCTCACACCCCCACAAGATGGCTGCCTACAATCAGGACAGCAGGGGGGGTTAGTGAGGGACAACCAAATGACTGAACAAGCAGGCTGTATCGGGTGATCAGGCTGGTGGTGGTAGGGGGGCAGTTAGGGGCAACCAGGCCAGCATTGGGGAGGGGCAATTAGGGACAACCAGGTCGGCAGAGGGGCACAGTTGGGGCAACCAGGCCAGCAGGGAGGAGGCAGTAAGGGTTGGTCTGGTCTACAGAGGGGCACAGTTGGGGGTGACCAGGCTGGCAGGGGGAGGGGG